TATAATTCTGGCTGCTCTTTTTTGTAATTTAAAGACTCTTTCTATGCCAGCACCTGGAGCATTGCCCCATATAGTTAAGCAATAATTTAAAGATGGCAGAATGTATGCATTATAAAAAAGTTTCCGCGTGTGTTATGGGAGAAATTTTTTTTATTTTACGTAATGTAAATAGTTTATACGTCAAGGACTTGCACACAGAATCAATATGACTAATGGAGTTTTATGAAGAGACTTACTTTTACAATCGATGACTGACTTTTACAATTTAAACAGAGACAAACTCCAATCACTAAAATGTAAAAGTCAGCTGTCAAATGTAAAAGTAAGTCTCTTCATAAAACTCCAATATAGCGCAATGAATGATCAATATGTACTCCAAGGAGTTTTTCTGATTCAACATTTTTAAGAACTTTGTCTGATACACACAAATCTAATTTTGAGGTTGTTAATTTAGATTTTCTATGTTCAGTCCCCATAAGCATACATTTTGTCTTCTCAATATTCAACACCATTTGATTTCTAGAACACCAGTCTTCAATCTCACACAAATCAACATTTAGGGCATTTTCAATAGAATGCACATTATTATGATATGTATGTAAAGTTGCATCATCAGCGAACAAATCAATATCTGAATTATTTACATGTAGAGGAAGATCATTTATGTACAGTAAAAATAAAAGTGGTCCTAAAATAGAACCTTGTGGCACACCTGCTGTGACGGGCATAAATTTAGAGGAATAAGTACCTAACTTTACACATTGTGTTCTTGAGCTCAAATAGGAATCAGAATCAGAAATGATTGTAGATATACATGTACCAGTACTAGCTGACAGAGAAGAGGATGAGTGTAGTGAAGTGTCAAAAGATTCTATAGTGAAATTGTTGGAAGAGTTTGCCGCTAGATATCCAGTGACAATGGCAGAAAATGTTGTTGAAAATAATGATGATGTTATGGGAAGAAAAGTCAGCATGGAAATCTCCTCTGAGGAAGAGGTGAATACTGTGATCATCCAGGGAGAGAAAGAAGACGAAACTAAGAAGTTTGACTTAGGATCCAACATATTGATGTTACCTCAAAGTCCAGGAAAGGATACCGGCTATGGTGCAGTGCCAGTGAAGAGACTGTACTTAGTGCCATCTGTAAAACCCACTGTCCATGGTGGCAACGATGGAACCTTCACCACAGCCTTGCCTGTGTAGTGGGAAACCGACGTTGGAATCATCAGAAATCTCGCCATGAAGGGGACAGGAGAAGGGGGCATTGGTAGAGCAAGACCCTCAGCTTTCACAGAGGACCCGCATAAGGAAAACACAAAGGTAAAGGTTTTTCAGCTTTGACGATTACCATGATGGTATGAGCTGATGATGATGATCCAAGCAGAGACGGACCAGACAATGATGCTTGACGGTAAGACGTACCTTTGACAGGACGATACCTAGATGAGAAGGACCAGGAATCGTGTGTGATTGATTAAATGGAACTGTGCTAAATGGAACTGTGTTAAATGGAACCGTGCTAATTTATATTCTATTGTAGGGAATGATGAACTTTAAATTCAAGCATTGATATGTGTACATTATAGCCGAATCTAATTTCAGATTATGTCATATTATTGAAATGTAATAATTGTACATTGTAAGGTAGACAGTTTGACCTTAATGTGTAGATTTGACATTTGTTTGACATAAGTCATTTGTGAGGACACAAATATTTTGAGAGGAGGGTAGTGTAACGGTCCAGAGATTTGACAGATTAGTTTTATACAGAGTTATTGAACCTGCTTATTGTTGACATTGTAGGAGATTTAATAGATGAATTGTATATGTGTTATAATTACTTGACATTGCAGAAATAGGTGTTAATTTATGCTTTCCACGTACTTGATAGGTGATTATTGACCAGTTTAAGTGATTTCTATGAGTTGAAATAGTTTGTGCACATGTTTAGAGTTATGTAGAAATCAGCTGAACATAGCAGTAGTAAAGTTGTGGTATTTTAGCTTACTTCATGTTATAGGGACTTTAATTGGTCTTCTGTAGTAGATGAACCATAGATTTATGGATGGAATCATGTTTTCTTGAAGTTTAACTTGTTTTCAGTTAATTATCGGCAATTTATAGATTGGTAGATTTGTTAACGAACTTGGCGGTCGTAAATTGTGTAAGTCGAGCCCGATCATAAAAGTTACGATAGTTTTAGGATTTTGGAGTAAATTGTGTTACTTGTTGATTTAAATGGAGTTTAATTTACTTATTCTAATTGAAGACTGTATTTAGAGATTGCATTCATTCAGAAAGGTTGTCTTGTTTGTAGTTATTAGATCTTTCTATAGACTTTGCTGCTTACGGGAAATGTCTCGAGAGATTCGCCAACGTTTTCCAACGAGTCCAACAGTTTCCAACAATTACGTCATATTATTGTATAAAAGAGAGAGATTCAAGGAATTTTTGCTCTTCTGCTAGGTTGAATGGTATAGAGAAGTCGTGTTTTAGGGGTAAGGAGTTAGTATGGGTTGGGCGTTTTTAAATTAGATTTAATAATGACTTTTTAGTTTTAGTTTAAGAAGAGCCAGGGTTATTTTAAGGAATTCAAGAAACTTTTGGAATATTTGTGGAATTTTATAGGAAGTTTTGGTCAGGTTTTAGTGAATTTTAACTGAGAATTGGACTTGGTTAAAATTTGCTAGTTGTTTGAATTTTTGGTAAATTGCTGTTAAATTTTAGAACTACTTGAAATTGTTTGCGTAATTTATACAATTAGCTAAGGAAGCTAGTGTATTTCTAAATTTTGCTACTGTTTTTAACTGGAATTCAGACTTAGGAAATTTGCAGGAATTACTGGTATTCAAATTTGTTAGGATTTAATTAGGTTTAAAAGATTAAGTTTTAGTTATTGGTTTTTACTTTCATCCAGGAGATCTGGAAGGAAGTTTTGAAACACAGGAGTTTTGTGAGTTGCATTGAAGTTGTTTTTAGACAGATAAGTTAGGACTAATAGGTGACTAGAGACAGACTGAGACAGAGTTTAGAATTTGCTGATTGTTCATTTGAGAAATAATTCTTATAATAAATTGTAAAACTGTATTTTGCCTCATTTCAAGTACAGAGATTTACAAGGTTTTCTCAAAGTGTGGTTTTCCAACAAAATGGAAATTGTGGGATATAAGAGGTTAAGAACTGAGTATTAAAATAATGAGTATTAGAGAATTTATAGTGACTTCCTTAGGTCTACGTTGTACCGAGCTTGACAAATATAAGTAAAACAGAGATTTCGTGTATTAATAAATTTAGTGTAACTTAGAGAGCGCGGGTTAATAAAAGGAGGTTAAGGTTTTGGGCAGTGGTGTATTATCCGAGTTCATTAATTAAAGGGAGATAATTTAGTGTGTTGTGAAATACGGTTAAAGGGTATTGAGTTTTGAAACACTGTGCCATACTAGCCCTCCTGAGCTCGGGTTGAGCTGTGTAACGCAAGCCTTGCCACGAAAGATAGGACAACCCCTAGAGAGAGAGAGAGTAGAGAGAGAGGGACAGAGTCCCTCCCCCTAAACGTTACATTATATTGGTGAATATTGGCACGAGTTGGCTATTCAAATACACGAGCTTGCGAGTGCATTTTAACAGATAAGCAAGTGCCAATATTCACCAATATAAGTTCATTAACTCCTTTATTATATAGCTAAAACATTTCCACATAATTTATAATAATTATTCCAACAAAATACCCTCATATTAATGATTTTAAGTATCGGTATTCAAATTAATGTCTGTCCTGTTAGCGTTCAATATCGCATCATTCTGATGACCCTACTGAGCGATATGATTTGCTAAATATTATACAATCATTGCTGTTTCAAAGATGGATAAATCATTGTATTGACCTCAAAAACAGCAATAATTGTTTTATTATATGTATATATATATATTATATATTTATTATATATTTATTATTACTTGTTCACATTTTAAGTCCTGGCCAAAAACAAGAGAGAAGCAGAATTAAAATGTGAAAAAACCTTACCAGTCGTATCAATTTGAATGTGTTTTTTTTTTTTTTATCAATTTTTCGTTGCCACATGAAAAAAAAATATATAATGTAAGTCTTTTTTATAGGACAGATTTTGAAAGGAAGGAGTATTATTAGGAAAAATTGACTGCCAAATAGTAAAAAAAAATGTTCAGTGAAAATGTTAGAGGGGGTCCCTGCATCCCCTCCTACCACCCTCACCCTAAAATATACATTCGCTTATGTTTTGTTCACATGAGAAAAAAAATCATCATAAGTCGTTTAAATAGCTTTCCAAAACAATATGTATCAATTTGGAATTTCTCAATCTATTTTTAGATCAAAGTAGAGGGAATTAATCCTTGTATTGACCTGGAACGTCACGTGCAGGTCAATACAACGTAATCTTTTTCTCACATAGTTAGATCTCAACCAATCAGAGAGATGGAAATTATTCAATCATATAATAATTAGGTTTTTATGGGTCTAATACGTACTATATTTTAATAAATACATGTTGTAATTTCACTTTTGTGTAAAAAAAAAAAATAAACACATCTTATCTAGATGCAACTTCCTTTCTTAAATTTAGCTCTGAGAATTTTGACCAGCCGACTTTATTTGTTTACAACGGGGCGTGCTCGTATTCGGATGCTTCGGGCATACTCATATAAGTTATACAAAGTTAGCATTCAATAAAACGTCAAGATATTGAACGCTAAAATTCTCTGCATTTTTGGCAGTTTTTGTTATTAGAGACTATTTATTAGTAATGTAATAATTTTTTTATAGGACCCTTTCTATATAAGAAGTTCAGAGATCATTGAGTTTTATGAAGACAAATAAAATAAACATTGTTGCATGAAAAAGTTTAATTTTAAGCCTAATTTTGAGGGTTTTTGAAATAAATTATCCTTTCTGACTGAGGATCGTGTGTCCTTAAGAAATATTCATTTTAGGATCTGATAAACACTGGAAGTAGATAAACAAAGGGATGTATCAACTTATAAAGATATCGGAACATCTTAAAGGAATGAGCGTACCAAATCCCCGGATGAACATGCGATTTGTTTCACAGTGTAGACTAGAATACTGAGTAGTTAGGCATTACTTGATTGGCTGAATCCAGGTATGTAGTTATCTTCATCTTAAAGTGAAAATATATTAATGTTTGAAATAAATGGTGGAATGTAAGAATATTACTGAAAATATAGGAATACCGGGGGAGATTGTAGGAATGGGAATAGATATTTTTGGCAAAGTGTCATTTACTGCCGATCGCTTTATTTAATAATGATGAAGACTTAAAATTCATTTTGACCTATAAACCCCATGAGACAGTATATTTTTTAAGGAGATTTTCATAGTCGCTTATGATAAAGTTTTAAATGATGCCAAGGATTTTTCTGAAATTAAATTAGTAAAGTACTGCGAGTACAAAAGGTTTGTATGGAGTTCTCTGGGAATATAATTAGTACTCTTTTCGCTTCAAGCATTTCTTCTTACTAATCCACTTGTAAAGAACTATCAGTGTTTCCGCCCGACTGTGTATGAACTGAATATACTCTCTAGCCCACGCATTTTAACTGACTTCTTAAAAGAAAAGATGCGGATTTTCCAATTTATTTCTTTTAGTTGTATATGATTATTGTCCGTATAGTTTTGTAATGAAGGTAAGTTTGTAATATCTTTACGTTTTTGTAAAAATTATTACATTAAAAATGTTTGAATGACTTCCACATAAAGGACATCTATGTTCTCGAACAAAAAAGTGATACAGTTGAAGCAATATGAGCTGCAACTCTCATGTAAGAATTTTTTGTTACAAAATTGTAAATAACTATTTCAATGACAAAAAAATAATGTTAATAAACTTTTGCTGTTTATATTTGCGATGGAAGAATTATCTATAAGCTTTGATTGAATCAAAATTACATTATTGTCGCCCTGTACAATAATGATGTCTTAAATAAAACTGTATATTGGATTGTATATCCAAGTCTTTCTTCTGCTTAATTTCAGTCTAATTTATCATAAAGGTTTAAATTACATACAAAATTAATCATAATACCACAGTTTAACAACAAAATAGAATTTTTCAAAAATGCAGTTCATATTTACGAAAGGCCAATGAGCTCAATTTCGTAGGTAATAAAAAAAATCGCATTATAACGCGAAACTTTCGCGAATAAAATCAAAACTTTTGCGAATAAACGCGTAAATTTCGCAATATAACGCGAAATCTTCGCGTTATAATGCGAAACTTTCGCAAATAAACGCGTAACTTACACATTATAACGCGAAACTTTCGCGTCATAACTTTCTCGATATATAATGTGTAACTTTCGCGAAATAAAATGCATATAGTAATGTCACGCAGGAACATTGATCTTGACTGACAGATTAGAACATAAACACAGACGGGAACTCTCAGGATTTTATTTATAAAATATCATTTTTTTCAGAAGATGTACTGGCGAAATGATGCGAGAATAGGATGGATTAGTCATCAGAATTTTTTTTTTATTTTAAAACTTTACCATTGAATTAATAAAATGAATTTTACTTTCTTGTACATGTTTTTTCATTGTTAAATTCTTTATACTGATCATTTTGTAAAGAAAATCTCTAATTGACACTTTTTTCAAGCTATTTTTTTAATCAGGAACATTTACTACAACTGTTCCACTAGTAAATTAAGCAATCAATGATTTTGGACAAAAAATTATACACTGTAGAAATATAACTTAAAAGTGAATGAACAATGTATAATTTCATCAGCTTAACGGGTCATATGATGCTGTTTAAATAACAATTATAATTGGATATTGTTAATTACAAATTTCTTGAGGAGAAGGGTCTCTAAATTTTCTCCAATATTTATATATTGGGTTATAGAGAAGTTCGTGGACTAGCCATAAATAAAATCTATGAAGGTATACACAGAGTTTGTACACTTTGTATTGTCAATGTTTTCGTAAGCAATTGAATGACAACGTGATGCATCCTCAAAAAAGAATATCGTATTTCCACAGCGAATCCAAGGGAGACAAATGAAAATCTATCCAATTTTCACAAATGCGGTTGGACACAATTGACAAATTAATCTCATTTTGTCATTTTTTTTTAAAATTTAATATCTAATTATTTCAAATTCTCTAGAGAGTGCATAAAAAATACGCCGAAAAGGGGTGATTTTCCCTGAAATTAATAATTTTGAAGTTTAACTTTTAGAAAACTCGCATAAACTTTTAATTGTTTGAACGACGTTGAGAAAGACAAATTGTGACGGTTAAGAAGGATTCAATGGCAAGAAAGCTTTCAATTTATCTTGTGATAGTCCAAAATAATAATAGCCTTTGCTTATCCCTGTAATGAATAAACTTGAAGACAAAATCGAAAGAAAGTTGAGTCTAAAGCAAATGTCTGGTTAAACAGCAAAAGTTTCGCGTTATATCGCGAAAGTTTGTGTTATAACGCGAAAGTAACGCGTTTATTCGCGAAAGTTTCGCGACATAACGCGAGAGTTAATCGTTTATTCGCGAAAGTTCCGTGTTATAACGCGAAAGTTACGCGTTTATTCGTGAAAGTTTCGCGTTATAACGCAAAAAAATTATTTTTTTACCTACGAAAATGAGCTCATTTGGCTTTCGTATATATTAACTACAGTAAAATCAATGTTTTCACTTGAGTAAATCACAGTGCGTTTACTCTGATTTTCAGAATAACATATTTTAATTTAAAACTTCCTACAAGTAAGTTTCCGAAATTAAAAAGAACTGTTTCTTGTATATTAACATGATATTTTCCCCCAAAATAATATACATAATTAGCATGTCTTATTACATTATCATGGTAATTTAAAATATCAAGTACTTACTATAGTTAAGTATATTTTTTGTAATGTTTTTCACATCAGGGAATCCTGCGGAAAATTGAACAATTTGTTCAGAATTTTTTATTACTCTTTCAGCCAGACATCTAGAGTGCTTATATAGTTGATTTTTAATGACCTTTTAAAATATGTTGCATCTTAATCTATATTTCATCAATTTTACACAAGAGCGATTTAGTCTTGAAATTGTATTTGTTTTGTTTTTTTAACTTCACTACCCCCCTCCCCCTTAACTATAATGATATGCTATAAACAAAAAGAATGAATGATAATTTTATCTTATTGAAGCAAATCTTATTTTAAACCTAGAATGGATGAAATACCAAGGATATCAGATGTTGTTTACAGAAATATGTGCAGCATAGTAGGTACACCTACAATAATAATAATAAGAAGAGATTTGACGGATATTAAGGAACGTTTAAGAGCGCCCGCGGAAAAAAGTCAAGGATATAGAAGAATTCTCAGTGGAAGTAAAAAAGAGGGATTTCGTTCCCAAACATCCGACTACGACTATATGCACTGGCCGACTGATCAGCATGTTATATGTGATCTCAAAGATGCACACAAATACAGCGCAGGGTGTACTCTGATTCTAATGGAGTATTCTGACAACCTTCCGGGATTTGTAATGTTAAAACTACTCACTCGCACAGGTAATTGGTATATTATATTATCCAGTACTAGGATTAATGATGGATTATACATTTCAAGTGCAATGTACAGAGAAAATAAATTAAAGGAAGTCTGGCAAAACTCTACTCATCATGGACCTTGCGCAACCGTAAGAATTGTTGATATTGAATGTGACTCTGCCCATTGTTTTGCCTGTAAAGACTGGCCGTCGATCGCTTATTCTTTTATTCAGAGAAGTCAGACTCAGGGATGGCCATTGAACAATGTTTTAAGAGATATCATCAACTCAGGTTGCCATGTTGTACCAATAGGATTCAAAGGATCACCTCAGGAAGATTGTGAATGGAGGATTTCATTCTCTGTAGCTGAACAGAAACTTGTATGGTGTATGAATCACACACAGTTTATGTGTTATGGATTGTTGAAATTATTTTTAAAAGAGGTCCTCACTGTAAAAGATACAAATGGACAACCATTGCTCTGTTCATATTTTATGAAAACAACTTTGTTTTGGGTTATTCAAAATAATACTGAATTAGACTGGACCTCCTCCACCTTGTTGTCAGGATTTTGGTTGTGTTTCAAATTTTTATTGTCATGTGTGCATCGTGCTTATCTTCCAAATTTTTTCATTCCTGAAAACAACATGTTTATCACAAAAGTATTTGGACATTCACAGCAGATATTGTATGAACGGCTTTTTGATATATACAAACTAGGAATTTCATGCCTGTTTAATTGCAAGTCACTCAAAGATTGCTTCACTAAAGCAGTTTGCAACAGGCTATACGTATTAAGTACGGCCGAATCAGATATTGTATCTGAGATAACCATCGACGCTTGTATTTTTCAGGAAATTCATTGGTTATGCACTTTTCTCAGTCTTTGCACTAATACTTTACACTGTTTTACTATTCTGCACTCCGCAGTCGGGTTCTTGAATGACTCCGGCATTACTGCGTGGAAGCGTGTCGCTCTCAGGAAATTCATCTCAACAATTCTCAGATGTGCTGTTTACCATTTACTCAGTACATCCAGCACCACACACAACAAAAGCAGATTAAGAACTATGTATGTGTGTTTGAATATATTAAAAGTTTGTCCAAATATGGGGTGTATTTCTGATGGAATTTATCTGGGTTTATTCCTGTTCTCAGTCGGTAAAAATGAGGAAGCGATTACAAAATTGACAATGATAAAAAGAATTCTTACACAACCTTACATCATGCATGTTGATGTTAAAGATCAACAGGGGTATATTGATGAAGTGGGAAGACTACCGCTAAGCGAGAAAATGAGGAAAGCTGTCGCTATGAGCATTGAATTAAATATTCCTATGATAAAAGAATTAGAATTAGAATGTAGAATGACATTATTACATGCTATTTTTGTTCCCCCATACGTGATGACACTGATGTTGCTAGTGTTAAGTTATTGTGATAAGCCAGATAAAAGACAGGAAGTTCTGAAAGAACTGTATTCACTCCTCCATTATGACAAGAACCATTATATTTTTGGCTTCTTCAGGGACATATCCTGGCAGATTCTTGGAATTTGTCAACAGATTTGTGGAGATTATCAGGGGGCCCTTCTGTCTTTTCAAAAATCTCTCATAGCTACTCCATTGCATGGCATCCAGGAGGCAACGTATTATAGAATACAAGATGTCCAGTATAGAAATCAAAATTCCTGAGCAACAAGTTTGTAATTGATGGACAATGTTATCAAACGTACCAAAATTTAGCCAGCATTTCTTTATATTTTATTTGTTTAAACTCTACTTTTTATTCAGAAGCATTAGTGTACAGATGCTGATAGAATTGATCATTTTTATGAATTAAGCTTAATTCAGATTATGGATTCGGTTTACATTGGAAATATGCTGTGAACTTTTATAATTGATTACGTCAACATTTTTCGCTATTTTGTCACTTTGCTTTTTATTTGCAACTTTGAATATTTGTCGACAACAAACAATTTTTGAATTTTTGCAACATTTCAAATGAAATTTCTCTGCAGAAAGATTTTTTTATTAATGACTATAGTTCAATGTACAAGCGTTAAAGCTGAGAAAATATTTAATTAAATACTGTGCAAAAACGTAAAATAATTAATTTGTTCATGTCATTCTATACTCTAGTAATAGACAGTTTCGATTTTAAGCAGACAATTATACAGTATTATGCTTATGTTCTAAGTATGTTGAACGATATCCAAAAACAATCTCTCTCTCTTTCTCTTTCACTTACATTTTCTTTTTATAAACAGATGGAACAAGTAAAGTATAAAAATTTATTGATAATTATCACAGTCATAATGTTTTTCAACTTTTATCAGAAATCAGTCGACATAAAAAAACCTACAAAAAAGATATCACTTTCCCATTGAAATCTTTGTCAAAATATTGAGAAGTCAAATGATAGTCGAGTACTCATTATTCTCATTAATGCTTGAAACACGACAGCAAATAGGTGTTTTTGTGTATTATTACTTCATCAATAATGTCTTGTCAAAATCTATAGAATGTAAACTTTGTATTTATACGTTTGTTTATAATGAATCTTATTAAACATAATTAAAACCATCTTCTTGTATCTAATTGAATGAATTTTTTAAACACTTAATGATTTTAAAAAAAATGAGAATATGCATTCAATATCAATATCCATTGTATTTCAATTTATATTAAAGCTTAATTTACAAGATCTTTTATTTTATACAAAAAAAGTATATTCACTTACTATTTATATAAGACATACAACAAAAAGGTAGGTGGCAATAGTTTTGTCAACACAATTCTTGGAATTTTTTTCAGGATGGCTGATTTACCTGACTAATCTCCAGTGAAAGTATTTAAAAAATGATAATTTCATAATTGATTAGTTTGATTTGATCGATACAATGTCCATGTCAGCAAATACAATTCATCATTGAGATAAATGCTGACTGAGTTTTTTCCATACTAATTGTTACTCCCTTATTTATACACTGAATTGACAACGGATTTTGCGGTTATTTCCCGATCCTGACAATGAGCACACGACCGGTGTGACAGGTCGACACGGGATGCTCACTTCCCCATGGCACCTGATACCACCTCTAATGTTTCGGATGTCCGTGTTTGCTCTCATCCTATTTTGTATTGATTTATGGAGTTTTGATCTTAAATACTGTTAGTTATTTCCATATGGTTTCTTTTGATATATTATATATTTAGACACTAGATCTCTTAAATTTTGTTTCACAATAAGGCTCATTTATTTTTAAGTGCAGTCCTCAAAAATACGTTCTCCTTCCTTGTGTAATTTGTTTGTTTGCTTGTTTTATATTTGACGCCCCTCTTGAGAAATGGAGACGAAACCAATTGCTACTGGAGAGCTGCAAAATTTGACTTATACTCGGTATTTAGGGCAATTGAGCGGAGAGGGATCTTTCATTAACCAGCATCTAATGTGATAGCTCAATGTTATATATTTACATCCACTGAATATTTTCTCCTTTATTTATTAAGTAAAACAAAGTTGTTTTCAACGAATGAGTAATCTCTCTGTACAAGTTTTTAAGAATTGACTTTTGCCTCAATTTAATGTGAAATAAGGGTTGTGCATTTATTTTTGCAACAGTTGCAACCTTATTTTTCATGATAACAACCAAAGAAAGCATTTCATTATATCAATTAAAGAAGACAGGCTTTTGTTCTTGTTCAAAACTGTTTCAATTGTTTAATTCAAAATTGTGTAAACGTGTGTTAAATATTTCGTTATATTTTTTTATTTTCCCTATGTTATATTGTTTTATGAGTTTGACCATGCTCATTCTTAAGTCTTTAAAAATCAAATGGATCTAGAGGGCCCACTGAACGCTTTATATATGATTTTGTTGATGGTTCTTGCTGACTAAATTAGAGTGGACTTCTACAATGGTCGTTAATACAGAGGAAAGAAGATGATGTTTTGAACAGGTCTATTGAAAGTTAACTCATTTATGACTCATTTATGTATTTGGTATTTAATATCGCTACAACATTTAAAAACAAGTTCAAGATATTAAAATAGTAATATTATGAAGTTGGTCTATATTGAATGATTGATTGTATATTGGTAAACGTCCCTCTCGTGAATTTTTTACTCATATAGAGATGCCACCATTTGCGGTTGAGATTTGCAAATTTTGTCCTATACTCGGCACTCAGGACCATTGAACAGTGATGGATCTTTTTTCAGCACCTTCTGCGACACGGAACCTCGAATTATACGTTCTCATCCGAAGGACCGGCCTCCACATCCCACAGTAGGATTCGAACCCACAATGTAAGCATTGACTCTCTATTATATTTACACTTCCTCAGAATTTGGTTATTTCTTATCTTTATAATTTTTTGTCTGCTTAAATCAAATGCCACTGTTATTATTAATTTGGAGAATTAAATCAAATAAATTATTAAACGCAAAGATAGTTGCAACAAGCGACAATCTGTTTTATTCATTTATGGAAATCAGATAAGGTATTGTAATGTTAGAGGATTCTGGAATGAAGTTAACAATTTGATGGGTAATTGGGCTGTCAAAATACTTATTGGCATAAACATAAATACATTTACTCAAAAGTTTGGAACCATCACTTGTTCTCTGATATTTCCTCAAACATCTCATCGCAGATGAATCTAAGCAAATGAATGTCAAATGTATTTTTTTTATGTATATCTGAGTAGATCTTAACTTACCATATCCAATGCAATGTAGAAATCATCTTTTAACATATATTTAATGCAGTTGATCATTCACTGAATGAACTTGATCATTCACTGAATGAACAAAATATAGAATTAAAAAGCTTTACGTACATTTGCTTTTTTCAGGAATTGCTAGCAGTAAGTATGACAAACTTTATTGACAATTAAAGAGTCATCCATTTTCAATATTTCATAAGCAAGCTTTATGATATTTCCACCACATCTTTTGAACAATTCTCTAACACACATTCTCGCGGTGTAGACAAGTCGTGTTTAAAAACAGTTTTGTGGGAACTCCACCATTCCACAATTAAGGCATCTTTCGATTCCTTTTTTTACATCTTGGGGCCCTCGCACTAATTCAACGACCAAATTAGTCACAAAAGTGTTCAATTATTTTCACACCTTGGGACATGGCGGGCCAGTGTAGCAGTTTCATTGGCTTCATGTTAAAGATAGTCCTTCATTATTCGAGCCTGATGGGGTCTTGTGCTGTCATCCAAGTACAGGTTAATGTTGTTAATGAATAATAGCATTTGTTATGGGTCAGAATTACCCGAAATGCCAGCAAAGATCAATAACACAATTTAAACTTAACAATAATTTATTTACAGTAATATATAATAAATATATCAAACATAAAGTACAAACTTAGCAAGAATCTAAAAATACATACATCAGAGTGTCCGTTGCTGCACACAATGTCCCAGTGAAAATATATCCCAGTTGTATCTCAATGGTGCTCATACGACAAAGTATTCACAATTATTGTATATGCATTGAATTGACAGGGTATTTATACAGTATTATAAATCTAGAATATTCTAGAAATTGTTAAAACATGATATTACTGGAACAATCTGGACATATACAAAATTTAAGAATGTTCTAGATAAAATGACCAAACATGTTGACCACTCTGGAATGTTCAAGAAACTTAATGTTACTAATTATATACATAATGAAACAATACACATCTCACAACACATTCTTCTTTCTTGTTCGGAGAGCAATGTTAGAGCCACATTAGAGCCACTTTAGGTTGATGAATTAAAAGGTAGGATTTTAAAATAGAGTCATTTTCTTCTAAAACGAATATGAATAAAAGTGTAGGCCTAAGACTCAATTTATTTTTGGTAAGAAAAAGATCCGTCAATGCTCGAGTACTCATTTGTACCTGAGTGCCGAGTATAGGACAAAAATTGTAGCTCTCCACTGGCAAGTGGTGGCGTCTCCTTATGAGTGAAAATTCTCGAATGAAACGTTAAAAACATACAAACAAGATATCAATATAGACCAACTTCACTTAACAATACTAGTATCTGGCAGATTCCCAGTGTTTTTAAATGTTTGAGGCCATATTAAATACCAACCTAAAAATGACTAAAATGTGTTAATTTCAATCAGCATCGGGATGAAGGGCCATTGAGCAGGAAGGATTTTTTTCGTGCCAGCACTTACTGCGACACGGGACTTTGGTACATGTATATACTGTCCTATTCGAAGGACTGGTTTCAAACCCGCGATATAAGGTCCAACTCCTTATTCCGAGATTCTCCTGGTTTTAGACATTGTTCGTAAGTAGAGCATGCTCATGCATATCGAATCAATTGGAGATATGAACCCTATATTCAGGGATAAGGGTATGTTGATGGCTGTGTAAAAGATGTTAACGATAGAAAAGTTTAAGTCATAACATTTTGTTGTTGTGTTACAAATAACACATTTTACTTGAAAAAATATCAAAATGTAAAACAGATATGGGTTTATAATACTACAAATGAATAGTTGAGACAAAATTTCAATATCTTAAAATGACAAAAAATTTTCAGGATCAGAGAAAATTATAACAAATAGAATATACTTGGAAAAAATGTTTCTGTGCATTCTGCTCTTTCACTTGTATATATTTTTTTTTATGAAAGTCGCCAAAGAATTGTTGCACCTTTGTCACATTTTTTTCGTTAATCAATGCCACATTATGTAGGGTATCTCGTGTTATTCGTCGAATTTTATTATAGGACAAGTCATACTGTAATATACGAAAGCCCAGAAGGCTCATTCGAGATTCGAGATTCGAAATACGAGATTCGAGATTCAAAATACGAGATTCGAAATTCGAGATTCGAAATTCGATATTTTATATATTCTCAACATCCAAAATAACCAATCAAAAGGCGGTTTGAGGATTCAATTACTCCCCTTTATTATTTTTTACTATCAAGAAATCGTTGAGTATTTTAATACAGAGGAGGTCATTTGATTAAATTACAACGCAAGAAAAAGTGTTATATATTATCAGAACGAAATTTAAAGAAATATTAGATATTTGGTCTGCAAAATATGCTTAATTAATTTATAATAGCTTCTTAAATGTCATATAACGATAATAAGAGATTGATATAAAGAATATATATATTTCGTGTTATACACTTTGGATACAGGGTTGTTGACATGATAGTAAACTTAAAATAGATTAACAGTACATACATCCCCCCTTTTTTCGAAACATAATTTTTTTACTATTGAAAATGTTGATCGAAAGGTCATTCTGTTGCTTGCAAGCGGCCCCCCCCCCCCCCCATACGTTTTTTCGGTACAGTGGTGCAATATAGTCAAAGAAGTATAAGTAGTAGTGTATTAAAAGAAATTTGGTACTAAATCGAAGTTCTAATCCCCCCCCCAGGTCCGCCCCCTTTCACGCCCAATATAGGATTTTCGGGTTTGAACAATTTTTTTCTGTCAGTATTTATTTTCAGATTTGAAATAATATTTTTGTCTGCCCCCCTCCCCCCGCCCCCCCCCCCACCCCACTTTCAAAATCGATGCTTCGTCCCTGTAATAATTATGTATCTACGGGTTTCAAAGTGAATAGTGTTTGTGACACGGTATTAGAAAGTGCCAGTGACCAAAGTTATGAAACCAATAGACAGCCCCTTAAATACGGATGGCTTAATCATGCATGCTTAATAAAAATAATGACCCATTGGAAATAATAAATTAAAAAAAAAATCATTGTT